AAAAATCTTAAATAAATGTAAACACCGTGCTCTCAGAGAGCAAGCACTTAGGCGTGTCACATCATATCCCTTCTGTGAAGACAGATACAAGTGAAACATCACCACTCAGTTTCAAAACCAACCACTGGAAGCGCTCTCAGGTTGAGGGGGGAACACCACGTTGCACATCTCAGAGTTCTCTTGGTGGAGAGGGAATTCAGACCCTGCCGCCAGGCTTTCTTTCCTCTTCCGTGAGACGTATCCTCGGCCTGTGGACAGCCTTTCATACTTTGTCTCAAATTGCCTGCATAACAACAACAACAATAGCAACATTACACACATATTAAAGTCACCTTACACTCATCACCTGCCAAGTTACTAGTGTACACTGGAAGCTTCCATTTTGGAGCCATTTGAGAAAGGAAAAGAGTGCCAAGGACTACCAGCTTCCATTCCCATGGATACGGTGATTTTTCTCTTTCCCCTGTCTTTTTCCCCTGCCTGGAATATGGAAGTTGGCCATTCATTTTTTTCTGGAATAAAGGACTAAATCTCTCTCAGCTTTCTGAATATGCTGTTAAGCTTTGCAAGCCTTGCTATGTCTTCCACCCCTCACTGCAGGAGCCCCACCTTGGGTAACACCCCTTTTGAGTAAGGAGCAAGTCCAGCTGGATTTAAGATGAGAATGCTGATAGGGAAACATGCCCAGAGCTCTGGCCTGAGTGAAATGTGAAACTATACCAGTTAGCCATATGCCTGGGTTGGTGGTCACTGCATTTTGACCATTGGAAAGTTGATTTTTTAAACAATGCATTAATTGGGCCGGTCGAGTGGCTCAGCTGGTTAAGAGCTCGCTTGGGAGCACCAGCTCTGAGCAGCAGGGCTGCGGTTCAGATCCCACATTAAGGACCAGTGACACTGCCCTCCACAGCTAAGATGCTGAACAACAGCTCGACCTGGAGCTGGGCTGCCGTGAGTTGCCGGCGCCGGCGTAGACTGCAGCCCCTGCTGCAGTGGGTTGCCATGGGCTACCGTGTATAGCCAGCAGCCAGAGTGAGCGGCTGTCCAGAGGCCGGCGACTGATCTGCCTCACCCGGGAAGAGCGCAATGATGGTGCCAGCTTGGGCCAGTGAAGCAACGTCCTCCACAACTAGACTGAAGAACAAAAGGACAGCAACTTGTCTGTTCCCCTCCCCCAATTCCACAATAAAATCTTAAAAAAAAAAAAAAGAGATGTTGTAAGACATGGCTTGCTGTTTTAAGTATACCAATTGTTTCATGGTTAATAGTGTGTCAAGGAAACGTCTACAACAGAAGAGTCAGTGCTACCTAGACCTAAAGCATTCTACTGCCATATGATAGTGCTGTTATAAACATGGTTACAAGGTTCAAAGGACACTGTGTAAATGAGAAGCTCTAAAGTGGAAGAGGTGTGGGAAAGTTACATGGACAATAATATATTAGGTTTTCGAGACACTAAGAATTCTACTGAAAACATTTAAAAAAAAAAATTCAAAATCCCAAACTCTCAAGTTTAAGCCAAAGCTTACACAAGGTCAAGTTGCTGTTGTATGGATTACCTAAAAACTGTGAATTTTATTGGGCTCTTAAACCATGGTAAATAATTGGAAGATGTTTTGTTTTGAACTTCCTGTCCAGGAGACAATTGTGAAGATAGCCAATAGTAAATATGTCTCCAGTATTTTTGCTGAAACTACATGGCAACTCTTATGGTAAATCAAATCCCTTTGTTTCCTTGATCAGTTATTTCTGGACAGAATATATTATTTCCCGAATCAAATAAACTAGTCATTATGGTTTTTTGGTGTCTTAGAAACTGATCTTCTTTGGCTTTATCAATTATTCTTTGATTCGTTTGAAGAAAATTCATGTTTCACCTGGATTTTTACCATTTTCTTTTAATTTCTGAAAATGTATGCTCAAACTGTGTGCAAGTTCCTGGTGACGTGGGGACGGCCCTGGAACGTTCCACGAGTGCCGCTTCTTACCTGAATGGAGCTTCATTCCTGTCCATCTGCAGGCAAATTAAGAATGGGTACTGAGAAAACTGCACTGTGGAGATAAACTCCATGCCTGCTTCTGTCTCTGCACTGATGTCCAGGCCAGCTTTCACAAAGGAGGAGTCCACGGTGATATCACCAGTTATTACCACAGCCATCCTAAAGATTTGGGGGGAAAAACATCTATTAATATCCATTTAATTGAGCTGGACTAACAGCTATAATTTCACAGGGTCTAAACGCATAACGCTGATGACTGGAAGGAAATACTTAAGTGAGTAATATGTGACCTACATGTGCTAGAGTTCTTTTGGTAACCAGGGCCTGGTTAGTCCCAGAGACTGGGCAGGGAAGGTTTGTCCTTCCCCTGAACCATCCCCAGCCTTCAATTCTAGATGTGAGAATGAAATGTCTATCAGGTACTACTGTTTGGAATGGGCGTACCAAGTGCCAAGAGGAAAATATGACTGGAACTTGGTCTTTTCAGGAAGTTAGAAATGCCTGAGTTACCTTAAAAGAAAGTCTAAACTCAGAAAGAAGACAGCTAATGGTGTCTCTGTTGGCTTCTATGTAGCTATTTCAATTCTACTTTATTACCTTCTCTAAGGGGTGTCTAGACACATAAGTCTATCGTTGCCAAGATTTTTTTTAAAATGTTGCATCTCAAAGAACCGTTTCTACAGTGGGGCATGTACAATGGGTGCTCCAGGAATGATGGTTATGGTGGTTTCTCCAACAATTACCCAGAGGACTAGATAGACATAACTGGATTGACTAGGGAGAGTGGCTTGGATGAAAATGAAGAGGGTAAACAATCCCAGTTGAAGGTTTGTGTCTGGGACCACTCTAATTTAATTGTAGATTTTAAACGAAATTGTGAGACGCTACTCTCACAATTAAATCAGAGTTGTATGTCCATGCTTTTTTGATAGGGATACTCAATTTTGCTGTACAACTTAAAGCACACCAGCTGCTATTGTTATCAATGTAAAAGTAGGTTGGAGGTGGTGTTATTTAAATCCCTGCATACCTCATTTTATCTTCTAATAGCTTACACTCAACAAAGGCTTAAGAGGTATTTTTTTATTTTTTAATAATTTATTTTTCAATTACCACTGACATACAACATTATACTAGTTTCAGGTATACAAAACAACATAGTGATTAGACCTCACAAAGTGATAACCCCAATAAGTCTATTACCCATCTGACATTGTACATCTTAAGAGGTATTTTTTAAATGAACAAATGGAAATTTGAAGATAGATTGGCTACCATGTAGATACTGCTAGATTCTTAGGGACACTGTGTCTTTTTAAAAAATCCAGATTTTTGATGTTGTTGTTATTACTGTTGTTGGTTTCTTTCTGCAAAGAATTCAGTTCAATTTAATTTGGGGAAACTTCTATCTAGAAAATATTTCAGAAAGAGGGAACAGATGACTGATTCAATGGGAAGCCCTAAATTATATTGCTGACCCCTCTGATAGCCTGCTCCACTCCTTATTTTTTGGTTCCTTTAGTAACACCATGGACCGCCATTAAATATGCCACCTTTTGATTGCCCTCAATTCTTTCATCCATAATTCAAATATTTTTTAAAAATTAACTTTATCACTCCTATCTCACTTCTGCCTCACCATATTTTTTAATATCCAAAAAAGGTAAAAATCAATTGCATTTCGATTTCCTTTTCTTCAGGATTATAACAAACAGACGAATAATTCTTTCGATTATTACACTGGTTTGGAGGCATTGTTTTAGGTTCAAAATAAAGTACTTTTGATTGGATCTGACAGGGCAGATTAGAATAACTAATGGAGCTGAGAACATTTTGTTTAGAAAAATGAGCACTAACAAAAAACTTAAGGACTCTTAATGTTTAATACTTAGATTCTGCACAGAAGTGATTATCATTTTATTTTTATCCTGAAGACAGCAAAAAAGAAAAAATTTGAAATCCCAACAAGAAGAATAAGCCAAAAAAGCTTGCTTCAAAGTAAAATTTCCTGACAGCACAGTCAACTACTAAAATGGAATACTGAGAGAAGATGGACCTCTCATCCACTAGGCATGCTATCAATGGAAGTCTTAAAAAATCAAGAAGATTCTTGGCTGAGTTGTGTTAGGCACTGACCTGCTCATAAGAAGCTATGGAAAGAATGACTTCCCGTGGTTACTTCCTACTCTGTGCTTTAATGATCACAAATAGAAAGCGTAGATTTTGAAAAGTCAGAAGATTAAACAATTCTGAAAATATATTTCTACAGTTTTTTTGCATAGAGTATTATACATATGGCTCACCGATTTTTCACTTTAGTTTTTGACTCACGATACCACAGACTAAACTCCATTGCACCAGAAATATCAATGGCTAAAGCACCTTGGACATCCAAATTGGCCTTCAGTCCAGATTGCAACTGAAGCTCCTAGAGGCAAAAATATACAATAATAGTAATAATAATAATCACAATTAGCCAAACCCTTTCCAAAGGTACATTCAACCTCCTGCTACCTGGATAAAACATGTGACTTGTGTTAATGTTGGAGTCTTTCTCTAGGCTTGGAAACACATTCTAATCTTGATCACTGGAGGTAGATTATTAATTTGCCAAATTATCTAGTCAATTAAAATACTGAAAAAGTGAAGTGACAATTGAGAAGAGTGTTTTCTTTCAATCACTGCCTCACTTTGGGAGGGAAATGTTCTCAAAGTGTGGTCCTCTAATGAATATCAGCATCCTGAAAACATGTTAGAAATGGAAGTGCCCTACCTACTGAATTAGAAACTCTGAGGGTGGGGCCCAGCAATCTGTGTTATAATAAGCCCTCATGTGATTCTGATACACCCAAATTTGAGAACCACCAGAGTACGGAAAATAAGGGCACCTCCATCAGGAATCCAGTTGTGGTTTTGGGGTGGGGGAGAGAGGTTGGGCTGGGTGACTTCTTGAAGTCCTTTAGCACTTTTCTAGTTAGACGCAGTGTCACATATAGACAGCTGCATTCTGCTGGCAAATGAGAAGCACGATAAAAACTGCCAGTGCAATATGAAAGTGCCAGGAATCGCCTAGATCAAGCTGGGAAAGGAAGGCAAGGCAATTTAACTAAACCTTCATACCTTGTTGTTTGACATATGAAATGAAACCAAATTAACATGTTGAGGCCAACATGAACTTGACAACATATTCCAGAGGGACAATACTCACAAACATAGTTCCTCTTAAGCAATTTTACAGTTGTCTGAAATTCACTGTTTTGTGCTGTTTTAACAGCATTTAGCCTTTGAGTCTCACAGTTTCTATGCACATGAGCTTTGGTGATGTTGGCTGAAAACTTCTTCAGCTGGATTGGAGTCAGGTTGCTTGGGGACAGTATTGAAAATGATAATGGTTTGGGAGAAAACGGCTCAGTATCCTTAACTTGATATTCCTTGAAAGATTTTAGGCTCATGACAACTGGCAGCATGACTAACTTTATGTAACTGCCCTACTCACACAAAACAAGCTGTGTTTTTGCCAATGAAAAATGCCATGATTTCACTTCTTAGATAGAAAGGATTCTGTTGATTTTCCTGCATTATCTCCACTTTCCAAAAAAATGTGTCAGGGAATGTCAGTCAAAGGACTTGGTTTAAAACCAGGTATACAAAAAAGGTCTGACTGTAGCATGAAGCTACCTTCTGAAAAACACTTGGATGAAGCCATGAGATTCTCAGCACAGAGTTCGAGACACACTAGGGGAGAGCCCTAAGAATACTTACAGCTACTTTCAGTCTAGAACAAATGTGGTTGTGATAGGATGCAGGGGTTGTCTTGTGCATCATAACTAATGTGAAGAAACACAAATAATCCTGAAAAACCACAATAACTAGGTCCAAATTTTAACCTATGCCTATGAGCTGCAGAACCAAGATATCAGAGTTCTGCGTTTGCACTGTAACTGTGATTGCTCCCAAATGAGCCCTACTGTGTGCCCTGCCTTCGAAGCATTTCTTTCTTTGTATCTCCTTCTCTGTTCCCAATTTGAAAAATTATAATCTTATTAGTCCACCCAGCCCAGCAGAGGTCTGTGATAGGGACTTTGGCCTTCGTACTGACCACACATTAGGTGCTAGTAGAAAATGTCCCTTTTTTAGGGAGGGAACATTTCCATTGCAATGTGGGTTTTGAGGAGTGCCTTGGCTTTCTGGAGAGCTTCCATTTCTCTCAAGCAAAGGGATCATGGAAGAACTCTTATGTGTAGTCACAGAGGAATTTTCTTGGACCCCCACAGACAGACCACTGACCCGTGTAGAAGGGACTAAACCACATAGTGCAGTGGTTCTAATTTGTTAGGGGTATAAAATAAGTGGAACTAAGTTTTGAGCACCAACTGCATCCTAAAGCTCTACAGTTGAAATCTCATGTAACTCCCATACTAATATTCCATGGTAGGCATTATATCTGAAAATAGTAAAGGAAAATCAGGCTTGGAGGTTACATGCGGAGCCAGAACGAGCCCCAGACTGTCTCTAGTGGGGGAGACTATTCTACTTCCATCCATGACGATCATAATATCATAACTGTCTTTTGTCTCCTGGTGTGAAAGGAAGCCTGTTCTGAGAAATATTGCAAAAAAGTTGTTTGACCCAGAGTGCATATTTAAATTCTTGCCTATGAACTAGAGGAATGAGGTACTAGAGCTTTGTATATGTAGCTAATGTGATCTCTTTGATCTTTTACTTTTGGTCCCAAAGATGTTTATTACAGCTCAGACACTGATATTTTCACAACTCATCCCATTGCTCCCATTCAGGAAAATATGTTCTTTGCTGACTGAAGAGGATCCCCCTGTTAAGCTGACTTTATCAGGCATCCTTCTCTGAAGAGCAATACAATTAGTGGCAAACAGAGAGAGAAGGAGCACAGAGTAATTCCATCTGCCCTGGTAGCTATGACAGGCCATCCACTGCCAAAATTTCCTTCCATGTCAGCACTTGACCTAGAGTGGTATGTGCCTCTGAAGCTGGAATGACATTATTGGAGTGCTTTGCAGAGCAGGGAGCCTCAAACAGCTTATTTGTGTAATAACCCCAGATCTTATTTGTATAATTTACCCTTCAGGGTAAATACCGTCTAAGCCCTCGTGCCCAGGAAAACCAAGTGAATGAGTAATGCCATCTCTGCTCTCTTGTAGCCTAGGTTACTTTCTCCGTAATTTCTTGTTTATGTTAGCATCAGTATTTTCTCTTTTTTTCAGTTTTATTGAGATATAATTGACATTACATTACACTTATATCGAATATTTTCTCTTTGCCTCAGCAATGAGTTGTCTTAATCATCTAATAAAGGCAAAAGAAATCCTTGTTCACCTAGAACAAGGGAGAAAAGGAGAAAGGGCAACAAGACCAAGAGGCTGAAAGCTTAGAATGTGAGCTCCAAGATGGGTGGAACTTTGTCTTATGTTCCCCAAACACAGGGCACCTTTAACATGCGCCTGGCACATTGTAGGGATTCAATACATACATGCAGAATGAATGAATTACCTGAGAATGATCTATTAGCAGAATAAGTCCTTTCACCACACTGACAGGGTCGCTAGATGCTGACAGCATTTTGGACATCAAATCACTGTATCCGTTGAAGAAAGTGACAGGTCTGAGCTGAACATCAAAGAGGATGGCTGACAAGCCGGCATAGGAGTCAAGGTTCTCCTCTCCTTCATCGGGAGTGGCAGCGATCAACCCCTCCAGCCCTTGGGCTTCAATGACCACCTAGGGAAAAATGGATATAACATTCATGACACAAGCTCCCTGCCTGTTCTGTAAGCGATGGTGAGCTACAGCCAGAACTTTCCTAGGAGTCACAACTCTGCAGCAGCTAGGCAAAAACAAAACAAAACAGCTCTATGCCTGAATATGGCTTAGTTTTCTTCATTTAATCCTCACAACCACTCTGTGGGGGTACATATAATTTTATCCATTTTGTAGGATTCCAATTCCTCTGTCTGACTACAAAGGCTATGAGCTCTCCATTTTCTGGGGTCATCCTAGAGACGCTTAGTCTTTCCAGGTCTCATACACTATGAATTAGCTATTGTGTAGAGCCCCTAACAGTAGATGGAAAGGTGTTGGGAGAGTCACCCTAAGGCTGCTACTGTGACAGAGTGTGGAACTCTCTAAGCCATGACTCACACCTTTCCAAGTCAACCTTTTCTCTTAGCTCAAAGGAAAAACGATGATCACCACGAGGGGACTCACACCCTGATCGCTACCATTCATAGGAATCCTACATTTGCTTTGTCCACCATACCCAGCCCCTTAACCACTGGGCGTCTGGCATTTCCGAGTGCATATCAGAAAACAGATGGTGATTCCTCAGGAGAGAAAGGCATGGTATTCTAACTAGAGTTCTACAAAAGGGTGTAGTAATATAATATTGATAGGAACTCAAGTTCATATAGCACTGGATCATTGTTCAAGCTTCAATGATTTGAGCTTATTTAGAAGGTTATAATTTGCTCTGCATAAAACCTAAAAAGAAAGCATATTTCCAAATTAAAAAGTTACAGAGTGTTACCAAATTTTAGATAAAATGAAAGGGGTGGAGGTCAGCTTTATTCTTTTCTCTCCTAGCAGTATTGGGAAAACATAGATTGACTCTTTAGAGACCCATATTCTATTATGAAAGTTTTTATTGTGGGGAATCAATTTCTCCATAGAAACACCCAGAGAAGGAAAATAGATTCTCGAATTAAATATCTGGGACTTCGAGGAATAGGTCCGTGAATAAAAATAGCATATTTTTAAAAAACACATGTGAGAAATACTGGCACGATTTCAATTTTGTGAATGTGTGTATCTTTGAAAAGAGAAATGGATGTTTGGCAAGTCCAGTGAATCAAATTATTTAGGTTTCTAGTTCATATTTGGAATTCCTTCTGGGATTATAAACCATACAGCCTCTTGCAGATGATATAATCATGGGTGACATATTACAGAAGTCACCATTAACTTATGCATTTGATAGTGTTACCATCAGCATACATTTTATTTTACCTCAGACTAATTTCATATATACTTTATTTAGCAACATTAACGGAGAATGAGTTACCTGGCTACCATGAAGATGAGACTTCCCAAGGTACTGAACGACGTTTAGGTTACTTCTCCTGAGAATGCCAGAGCCAGAGTAAAGGATGTCAAGGCTGTAAGTAGATGCCTTATGGGGGCTACCTAATGACAAAAAAACAAAAACAAAAACACCCCTGTAAGTTAATGACAGTTCCAGCAATACCGAGCTGGGGAAGGACATGACAGGAGAACCCCTTCCTGGGTTACGTACGTTCTATGTAGCCAGTATAGAAAGACGAGGCTCCACTCCTGGCGAAACGGTCATAATTATGAACAACCATTTCCTTCAGAACGCGACGAACCATTTTGCTGCAACATGTAAAAGGAAAAAGCTGCACATTTGTTGTAATGGCTATTCCCCAAGTCAGATTTGGAAAAAAACACAAATCCTCAGTGGAAAAAAGTGGGGAGCATATTTTCCTCATGCCACTCCAAGACTGGGGAGGTGCCAGCTGGAGTGCCAGCATCGGGATGAGGGCTTTCTCCTCCATGCCTCAGATATTTGAAATTTAGTCTGGTATCGAAATGACAGCAACGTGAGGACACCCAGCTATGAGATGGCTTCAGCTGGCTGATGGACATATCGCAGGGGTGAGAAGCACATGTTCTTTGGATCATCATGGTTCTATCACGAAATAGTATACACTTTTAAGGAAAGCTGTACCAAACTGAGGAGGTTGCCAAAATTTCTTTAAATATTTGCCATACCCTCCAATGTTGTTATCACTGGCTAATGATATAGAACAGTAAATTTCCAGAAGTTTCTTCTGCGTATGCAGTTTCCAATTAAGGAAACAGCTCAGTTCCACCCATACAATCTATAAGTCATTGTCTCCTCTAAAGGAACTCATGCCTCGACCTCATCTACCTGTTGAATAAGTGCTGAGATCTTTCTATTCCTGACTATTTCACCCTAATCATATCAGTCATTATGAAATTACAACAACACAACAAAAAATAGTTTTTTAATCAACTAAAAAAATCTGGACTTAGATCTAAGAAAGAAAATTATTGAGAGGAAATGGTTACCTTATAGGATCCCCCCCCCCCCCCGCCATATCAATAAGTTTTAAGATTTTAGCATGGAGCAGAAAAGATGAGGAGGGTCATGACAGCTGTCCTCAAATATTCAAAGGGCCTGCAGGTGGATGCATGATTAGCCCTGTGCGGCTTTCTCAAGGGATAAAACCAGGGCCTATAGGAAGCTTTCAGTCATTCAAAGAAGTCATGGTGAGTCTCTGAACAACGATACATGTTCCTTCAGAGGAGGCGATCCTCCTGCCGCTGGAGGGGTGGGAGGAAAGTCTGAACACACCTGCCAGGAGACTAGACCCCACATTTGAAAGAGATACCAGGCAAGACGGCCTTTAATGTCTCTTCCAACTCGAACGTTTTAGGCTCTGAGAATCTGACCCAGTATTCGTTATGGCTTCCTCGCCTTTCCTAGGCTGATCTCTACCCCGCTGCCTCCTCTTTACTGCCCCTGAATCACTAGGTTCACGAGACAAGGGCAGCGAATCCACCCAGGATCTCCTCTGCCCAGTGTCGCAGAGCAAACAAAGCGACGGCAGAAGTCAGATCCTTGACTAGTCATGGATGGCTGCAGACGGGCTCGGCTTCTCCTGTCCCTCACCAGTGCTCCTTCCTTCTTCCTCACTGTCCTGCTCTTTTCTCTTTCCCACTCACTTCCTGTTTCTTTTTCCTTCCTCCTTCTTATTCCTTGTTTTTCTTCCCTTCGATCTTTTACTGCCTTTTAATTTTTTTTTCCACTTCTCTTTATTCTCCAACCTCACTCACATCTGTTTTCCTTTTAAACTGGTAATGCTCAAATTTGATCTTTTCTGAGGTCATGCTCTGCGTGTAACTCAGGGGAAACGGAAATTCCTTTTCTGACCTTCTGTTTCAGGGAGGAGGTGTAGAGAGCTTTGGGGGAGCCACTTGGAAGCGAGACATCAGTGAATTCAGAAGAGACTTGGGAACTGGCAAGAAGATGAATCCAGTAAGAGTAACTGAAAGCAATGAAGCCTGCTGATCCCATTCTTCATACCTTGAATAGTCCTTAAACATGGGCCATGCCTACGGTTTTATACTGAAATAGTACATTCATTTGATCTGTGACATATGAGGCTTCAAAGATTTCGAACATTTGGGAAGTTAAAGATGACAGACCGTGAGGTGAGAACTTAACATCATTTTGTTGTGCTAGTGATAAAAACAGTCCTATGAAAAATGTAGTTGGATTTTAAAACATGATTAACATCTGGTAATATCTATTAGGTTGTCGGAAAAGTCATGACTTATTTTTTCTACGTTTTTTGTTGCAAAAACGCATCATGACTTTTCTGACAACCCAATATTTACCCGACTGAACAGGAGACCTAGAGGAAAAATCATACCTGGAATGCCAAATCATAGTGCCAAAGTGAAGGTGTTTTATCTGGTCCACTATATAGCCCTCCTATAGGAAATGTGGCAGACTCTTTGCTCATGCAACACAACCTAGCATAATGACCACACCATTATCGTTATCCACACATGTACCACACAAATATACAAATAAGCTCCAATAAGCAGAGACAGGGGCACTGTATCATACCTTGCAGGCATTTCAAAACGCAGGATGTCTTGAACAATGGCAAGCATGTATTTATTCATTTCTTTTGGGAGCTCCCCAATAGAGAGCAGGATGTTTTTTACTTCCATGTAGGATGGATTGTTATTTAGAATGATAGCAGCTGCAGTGGTGCGTACGGTCTTTTCATGAACTTTACGGTTCTGATGGTATATTCTGTTCAAAGTCTTCTTTACCTGTTCATAAGATGTTCAAACTTAGTGCATATCTAGATGTTTTAAACTGATATGGTGGCAGGCAGAGTCCGTGCTCTTAAAATACACATGCGTTCCTACATTTCCCAGGTTCCTTTGCAGTTAGGTTGGGGCCATACTTCTGGTTAATGGATTATGAACAGAATCGCTTTGGGTAACTTCTGGGCTGAGTCAGTTAAGAGCTGGTATGCCTTCTCTGTCTCTTTCTTCCACTACTGTAGTGAACTTAAGACCACAGTTTTCCTTACCTAGCTTAGACATAGCATGAATGAGAAATACATTTTTGATAAGCTGAAATTCTGAGGCCCCTTTGTTATGGTAGCATATCACGATGTTACCTAACTAATATAAATTTTTAAAGATACTACTGCCATATGGCAAGGGGGCTCTGGGGAGAGATGGCTATATGAGCTGACATTTCCTTACAGGGAAGTACCTCAGACTCTTCCCTTCTCTTTTGTTAAATTAATAGACTTTATTTTTTAGACAAATTTTAGGTTCATGGAAAAATTGAGCTGAAAGTACAGAGAATTCTTTTACATATCTGCTCCTCATCCCTCCTCCCAACAGCACACATAACTTCCCCCTCTATCAACATCCTGCACCACAGTGGTCATTCGTTACATTTGACGAACCTATATTGACACATCATTATCACTGAAAGTCCATAAGTTACATCAGGGGAATGTTTTCTAAATAAAACATTAATGCCAAAGAAGATTTCCAAAATAATATTCTGTGGCAACAAATAATTCCGTTGGTTACTAGCACTGCCTTACAATATGCTGTGTGTAGTGTTTTGTACTAGGCATTTATAAATATTTCTTTCAATTCTACTTCCCTTTGCCTTTTTCTATCTCCTCCAAATACTGGGTGTTTTCAGGTTTATAGGAGTTAAGTGACCAACTTAAACACAAAGAACTAGGAAGGGAAGAGAGGTAGAATTTAAAGGTAGATCTGTCTGTCTCAAAAGCCCCTGATCCTAACCATCATGTTTTGCACCCACCAGCTTTGACACAAAACTGGTGAGAAGGCGTTTAGCTGCAAACTGGAAATACCACTCTCAGTGGGCAGTTTTTCATGAGGTTTATAAACATTCTCTGTTTTAATAAAAACTTAATTTAGATAGCTTCCTGAAAAGGTAGCTGTAGGAACCAACACGGTAATACTTAAGCCAGGATATTTCCATGTCAAAAATTTAACAGCATCTTAGCACTTATGGAAATAAAGATATTTATAAAAATACTTTGTTTCTTAAAATAAGAGGCTATGCCTTAATGTTTATACTTCAGGATATAGGATATTTTATATTCAAAAGGTGAGCTACTTCAGAATAACCTTAAATCCAAGTTAAGAGTTATTTCTAAACAGGAAAGAGAGGTTGGTAGTTTGAAAAAAAAAATGGGATGACTTCAAAGGTGTTTGCATTTGACTTATATTTAGGCATGCTTTTTTTCCTTTTGTAAATTTTGCAAATATTCTTGGGGAAATTACCTCATCTGTTATGAAAGGGACATCGTATCTCTGGAGACTGGTGGTAGCGAGGTGGCTGATGGGTCCTTCTCCTGACTCTGCATACTTGATGAGGAGTGGGATGCCTTCCGGAATCAGGGCATTCTTCAGAGCCAGCAGGTACATCATGATGTCCTCTTTTTTCTCCGCTTTCTCAAGTCCTCCCAGGATTAACTTCTTGGCGTCTACCACTGCCTAAAGAAAAAAACAAAACAAAACACATACTACCTCAGACATATGCATAGTCGTACATTAAACAAGGCTTGGGCAAGACTTACTTCACTCTTGTGCCCAACAAAACAACCTAAAGTTTTACAAAGCTTTGCACTGTGTGCCCAACTGAGGCACACGTGAAAATGAACAAGTAAAGCTTGATAAAGGTGTTGTGTTTTTTTTTTTCAAAAATGTATACATTAACATATCCTCAAACAATGAGAATAATAATATATATATTTATGTTTGAACACATTCTGAATGTATAAAATCATTTAAAAAATATCCTTGTGATTGATTCACAAAACTGTCCATTCATTGAATTTCTAAAGCAATGATTAGATGGTGCCTAAGTGATGCCACCTACCTTTTCTTAGGTGACAGTGGGTGGAAGGGAATGAGACTTCTCTGAGAATACTTTTAAAACAGAGTTTTGACTTTTGAAGCATGTTAATGTTTCACATATTCAAAAAATAAAATGAAATCAACAAGGATGAAAGAGTGCTAAAACTGAACTCAAACAGAAACAAATGAACCTAAATGTATATCAGGTTGGTAACATAACTAAATAGGAGAGGATAAAAAAGAATTTATCCAAGAAATTTTTGAACATAGACTCTGACTATATA